CAGGAAAACTCCCATGCGGATTCTGCAGCAGCCTAAATCTGCCTGTGGCCACCAAAGGGATCAGCGCTCGAAGGCGGTCAGACTCCACCAGCCCAGGAACGCTTGGAGCCCGGCCTTCCCTCTGCCCAGGAACAGCCAGATATTTCGGACAGCTGCAAGGTGGAATTAAATCACGCGGGTGGAGGGTGGCCTAATCTACACAGGCGATATGTAGGTGTTATTTGAGGCTGAGCTGTTCTGGAGGGCTGGGGAATACAGTACTTGTTAACATATGCTGTCCAACTACTTTATTTAGTTAGTGTTGTTAAACTTCATCGCCTTAAAATAGACTTGAGATTAGCATAGAAGAAAGCAAAAGGACTGTTCATTAAAGAAAGAACCTACAAAACAATAAAATTAATTGAAAAGAGAATGAGTGTCTTTATTGCTTTGCATTATTTTGTAGTTAGTCAACAAATAGATTTTATAGATGCTGCAAACATCTACCATATAAAGCACAAGACAGACTCATGATCCTGAGTAGCCTTAAAATTGAACTATGATTGTTTTTTACCTTTTTCTGTTTATTTTTAACTAGAAGGGAAATTTTCACATTAAAAAAAAAGTATTCTGTTATTTGCTGTTTGTATGACAACCTGATTTGCAGTTGAAATTTCTAAAAACAACAATATAGATCTTCTGAATGCCAGCAGACTTCACTGTTTATTTCTGAAACTTGTGTGGATGGTTGTTTCACGCTGGAGCGTGGAGAAAGCACACAGTCATCTGCACTCAACATGCCGAGTACCCAATGTTATGCTAAAACAAGTTCTTTCCACCACCAGCAGGTTGCAAACTTGTTGAAGTAGCTGGAAAGTACAATTACAATAATTCCTAAATGAGAGAAGCGGGAGAAACTAATGAACCTTTGGGTAATTGCCCATTGATTACAGCTAAAAGCAGGCATTCTTTTAGCTATGAAAAAGCAAAGCCTAAAAATGAGCTAGGTCACTTTGGGGAAATAAAATCGGGTTTTGCAAATGCAGATTACAAATTGCAGCCTGTGTCCTAATCTTACCACATTTCCAATCAGGAGCGTGACACCCTGCAGATGAGCCCTGTGCACAGGGGCTGCCTGCCCACTGGTGGGCACCCAGAAATGTGGTTGTGCCAGCCTGGCCCTGGGTGGGGAAAGGCAGGAGCCAGCACAACATGCAGTCCTTCACTGAACTTCTGCCTTGGTGACGAGAGTGGGAAGCCAACCTTTGCCTTTCCAGTTGAACCTCATAACTATACTTGGAAATCAACTTTTTTACTTTATTAGAACCATTTGGAGAAATAAGGATTTGCAGAATTAAGCCCAACAAGTAGTAAAAGCAAAGAGTCTATAAAAATCACTGAAATTGTATTGTCTTAACACCATCATTTAATTTTAGACATTCTTCTAAGTGCAGTTTTAAGACCTTCTTTTAAAGCCTGTAGGTATAGATGCTCCAAATTATTCTGGCATGTTTATTTTCAATCACATTCTGTCTCTTGGGGAAAAAAATGATCGGTGGGAAAACCAGTGTGTACATGCAGTAAGGAAAAGCAGAACTTTGAGAACATTCAACTAACAGGAATAAAAATGTAAACAGTTTTATTTGCTAATGCAACAGCTGATTGCTAATATTGAGGTTAAATACAAAGAGCTGCAGACTGCAGTCAGTGAAACTGGAAGTATATCTGGTGCTATAGATGGAATTTTCTTTATTCTGCCAACATCAATAATACAAATATGAACAACACCCAAGAATAAGATTTCATGGGATCTTCCTGAGGTTGAAATGTGGAACAGAGAGAGGATTTGCTTTTAGGGCCCAACGCAATACTCAGGGAAGTCAATAAACAGAGGATGTTTCTGTTACTGAGCAAACCTGTGCCAGCATCAGGGCTTGTGCCAGAGCCTGAAGCAGTACCCTAAATTGTCATTGCTTGTTTCTGTGGAACCAGTTATGAGCAGTTCCTGAGGAGCCACTTGGAAATTGAAGGTCAATCTAGAATTAAAGCTCTATCTATCTAGCTAGCTAGATAATCCAGAATTACAGCTGTATCTATGAGGGTGGTGGCGCACTGGAACAGGTTGCCCAGAGAAGCTGGGGCTGCCTCGTCCCTGGAGGTGTTCAAGGCCAGGCTGGATGGGGCTCTGAGCAACCTGGTCTAGTGGGAGGTGTCCCTGCCCATGGCAGGGGGGGTGGAACTTGATGATCTTTAAGGTCCCTTCAAACCTAAACAATTCTATGATTTTATAAGAACTATTTCTCCTTATGACTTTATCAGAAATTTGATAATCAGCCTCTTTAAATGATTTAAATATCTCTAGTAAAATAAAGTAGGGATGGTTGACTTTACCTAATGTCTTTCATTCCAGAGGACTTTGAAGTGGTCAACAAACTGATTATTAAATATTTGTCTGGCTATCAGCCATTGCTGGTGTGCAAGGCCAAGGCCAAACCTTTTGGGTTGAAAGGTAAAATATTTTTAAAAGTGCTACATAAAAAGCAGCTGAGGGCACAAGATGCAAAGTATCTTGCAGAAATCAAACTTCATGCTGATTTTAAGCAGGCGAGTTTATCAACTGGAGTTTAGCCAGATTAGCAAGGCTCATATCACTCCAGCAACGAAACATCATACAGCTGTAAGACGGTTACAGGCTATGCTAAAACCTGAGTGTGTTCTTTCAACATATGTGTTTCAAGTCCAATTATAGGATTTCATGAGTTATCTCATGAAGTGAATTTTTGTAAGGTGTTTGGGCTAGTAAATCCCCATGCCTTTGTAGTCAAATAGAACCTGTAACACTTGTTAAATTTACAGGAAGTTATAGGCAGGAAACTGTCTTTGCAGAAGTGAAACGACTTGGTATTCTGCATTTCCCACATCTAATTTGAATATATTCAGAAATCACAACCTTTTACCTTCTTGTACTACAATACTCTTTTTTACACAACCAGTCTCAAAGTGTGGTGGGCACTGCAGAGAGGAATACATTACAAGGCAACAAGATATACTGAGTTGTTTTCTGTCGTGAGCTTTTGTACGTGACTCTCCACAGCTCTATAGCCCATAACCCAGAAGACCTGAGGAGGCTTGGTGTCACCCATGCACTGAATGTTGCACATTTTGCATGGGGAAGAAAAGGACACCAAACTGTCCGTGGCCAGGAAATGCATTATTACAGAATACCTGCAGAGATCTTGGTTGACTTTCACCTCGGTGGACATTTCTGTGCCACCTCTGAGTACATTCACAAGGCCAAATGCGTCGTCTCTCTCCTGCTGCTCTTACACAGCACATTCATTAAGCGATCACAAATTACTTTTGCAGCATTAACTAAACCTCACTCAACCACTTGGGTAAGCCTAATTATCCACTTACAGACATTCTTTCCATTGCCAGGTGGGAAGACAGCAGGATCCTGAAAGATTAGGGGTAACCAACTATGTCCAAATCAGTGGCAAGGATCACACATGGCCTACTGGTAATCATCAGAATGTATCTTCTGTAGCAGGAGAGGGGGAAAAAAAAAAAAAAGGCAATTATAAAAGTGAATGATGCTGTATTTTAGTGATTGGAGAGAAAGTTCTGAGTTCTCAGTTGGAAACCACTGATTTTTTTTAAGCTTTTCTGTATTGATTCATCAGAATACACAATACAAAAATTGTTACTTTTTGCTTTGAGAAACAGCCAAAAGCTGCAAAGAGCTATCACAGAGACATGCCAATTGGCCATTTACAAAGCCTACTGCCATGTGTTTTCCTGTCTTTCTGGACTCAGATCTCTAGTAACAAAAAGCGGTTCTTGATTTATGAAAGGGATGAATGTAATACCCTGAAGGCTACTTTATCTCAGCTGCTGTAAATTGGATCTCGATGAGACGAGATGAGATGAGATGAGATGCGAGTAAGGCAGAAGTATGAACTTACACAATCTGTGACCATGGCACTATTCTGTGCAGCCTGGAACAGCACTACATGTATTCATTTCTATTTTGAAAGGAAAATCTTCATTGACTGTATTCTTAGAAAAAGGAGATCTGCTTCCCTTGTTCTGGCTTACCTTACGATCTTCTGTCACTTTCCTCTAGGCTCTCCAAAGATGCTGGATGCTCTCCAAAGAGCTATCCAGTGGCGAGCAATTTCATCAAGCTGCAGGATTTACATATCGAACTGAAAGACAGTGTACACCTATGTAAACTCTAAACTCTTATGAAATAAAAGAAGATCAAAGTGACAAGGAGAAGTGTCAGACAGACAATCTGAATATGAGATAAAGATGAAAGGAATATACCTAAAGCTTTGGCATCAAACCTAACTTTTCTCTCTGTTTAGGGGGTAGAAGGTTACTGAATTTCATATGCTCCTCAGTTATTTGGTTAAATTGAGGCAACAAATGTGCAAGATACTCCTCTGGGATACATTCCCGGTTTGTCGTCCATTCTGCTCATTAAAACTCATAAAACTAAACTCCAGGAGAAAATAGGCCCCTTTTTAAAGTTAAAGCTCTTAAGGATATCCCAGGACATAAAAGCGTGCTAACCTGTTTTGCTGCATTTAGATCAGCAAATGAAAAGGGGGAAAAAATGTTGTAGTCCAACACATAGAAGTCGTCACCCAGATAGAGGACAGAATTTTTGCACCCTGGTGACAACAGATGCTCAATGGCCAGGGACTTTCCAGAGGTACCTTCCTCCCGCCCTCTGTCCAGCTCTATCTTAGCTTTATGGACCTGAGATTTACAGCAAAAGTAATATATTTTCAGCCATAAAGTAGCCTTCTTTTCATGCTCAGAATTCCTTATTCCCACCAAAATTCTTTTTACACAAACATCGCTGTGTCTCTAGCACTGGTGAACACAGAAAGAGACAAGTTCTTTAATTTCATAGGAATATTTCATAAAGGAACCGGTCTTTCAACACTAGAAGGGAAGACAGGTTTCTCCCAGTGCCCTCACAAAGGAAAGGGGGCTGCAAAGATAAAACACTAATCAGACTTTTGAAATGACTGCCCAAATTGGTGAGCTGAGCTACACCACCCTGGGGTAGTTTTCATCTCAGAGCAGGTCCTTGAAAACAAATTGTAGTTTTAGACTGAAGTCCTTGAGATGCAGAGGTAAGATCCCTGGGGACAGTTGCTGGTGGCAATTCCAGCATGTCGGCAGAACTACGCAGCATTTGCCCAGAGCTCATGTGCTGCATGCGTGCGTTTCCGTACAAGATAACGCAGCGCAACATTGGAACACCAACATTGGGGCCAAATTAATCCTTGGGGAAACTCCCACCAAAAAAACAGTGGTGCAACCCAGGGCTGAATTTGTCTTCCTATTTCCGAAAAGAGAAGTCTGCCAAGGACAGCATGGCCTGAGAGGCACACAGAGCTGGCAGGCTCTTAAGTGTCAAAATAGAACCAGCGTAGCTGTCCGCGTACATCCCGTGCTTCACAGGCGAGACAGAGACAAGAAAAACAATCAAGTAGTCTGGTGGAAAAAGCAGCTTCCCAGGATCGCTCTAGCCACGGTGTAATTGTGATCAATCCGCATTGGCAAGTATCAGCTTTCCGTGTGTGTTCCGCCTAACACAGGCTGCCTGCAGAGAGCAGCTCGGGCAGGCTGATGCATGCTTGTTATCGCTGGCGTAAATATCTCTGCCTTGTGTTATTGTGGCACAAAGCAGCTGGACCATTTGAAAATCATTTAAAAAGCACTATAAAATTAGGGCTCCAGTGCTCTTATTTTATGACTTTCATGAGCAGCCATTGCCTAGAGAGAAATTATCCTCTTTATTTTCAAGGCTAAAGGTTCTTTTAACATTCATCAAAATCATAGTGCACCCTTGATAACACATTGAGCTGTTACTTATCTAGTACAGACTCTTTACCTTCTGCATAATATCACATTTGAGATCTCAGTTCTTCATATACAACTCATTTCATTGTGTCTGCTGTTGTTTTCACCAAGTGAATTTGCATAGTTTCAGGAAAGGCTGGCTGATGCCCTGAAACATATTCTTTCCATACTTCCTAATTTTTTTTTAATTTCTAGAACAATAGCCTGGAGTGTTTTTGTTACTGATCCTTCTATAAAAATGGTCAATTACCTCTCCTGGCAGTGGATTTGCACAGACCAATTAAGCACTGTAAGCGGAAGATTTTCAAGGGCATAAATAGTACTTAGGAGCATAACCTGATAGACTCCCCTTTCTGCCTTTGAAAAATATTTCCCCCATATATATATATAAAATAAATAAAATAAATAAATAAATAATAATAATAATAAAAAGTCTTTGATAATTTTCTTTTTTTTCTATTCTTGTTTTCACAGACAGCTTCTTTACCAAACCCAGGAAAACGGTGAGTGAACCAAAGCAGCATGACCAAATGCAAACAGTACAAAGGGAAAGCCATTCTTTTTAGAGATAAAAAAAGAAGCACAGCTGTATCGACCATACTTAAAGCTCAGATCCGAAGGGCTTAGGAAGAGACACTGCATGAAATTTTCAGCCACAGAGGTTGTGAGTGGGCAATGGTGAGGTCCTGCACATCCTCTGTCCTGCAGCTCAGGAAAACCGCTGTTTTCCTCTGTGTTGTTTAACCTGCCTTAGGCTTCTGTAAGAGACTGGTCACCTTATTATCCAGACATCAAATACAGACTGAAGATAAACATTTAGAAAGTCATAACCTTGGCTCTGTTCTCACGATTCCCTCTTTGGCCAGGATTTTGTCTTTATTCCCTCTGGGGGTAGCAGGCTGCATTCCCGTGCCAAAAGGTGGCACGCTTTCAGACCTCTGCAAGGGGGGCTGGTTGGTGCTAATCGATCCCGCTGCGAAAGCACCTGTAGCCACGTAGAGGAGCTGTAAAGTCAAGATGCAGCATCCTGCATGGAGGAGATGTAACCGGCCAGAAGGCAGGCTGCAAAGAGAGCCCCGCCGCCATGCCAGCACCTCTGCGAGCAGAGGGAGTTTGAATCTTCAACCATAGAGGTCTTGCCTGTCGGCACCCAGTTTGCGATTCACCAACAGGATGCTTAAGCTAACAGGGGGTCAAGGCAGAGTTATTTGTGAATCACAATTGTTTATGACCCTAGGAAGGCAGAAAACAGGATGGGCATGATCAGCAGAACATAGCACAGTCTGCTGTCACCATAGATGAACAAAGTGGGATAGGTATTTAGTAAGTCAGGATAAGAAAGCACTTCTGCTCTGCGGCACGTTTTTCTGTTCCCATAGTCAGCAAGCCAGTAACCACCTTCTGGTGTCTGACGGTGCCAGAAATCGAGAAAAGGGCCCAACTGAGCTGACCTAGTGCTGCGCTCCTGCATTTCAGGCCAGATTTCGCCTTTTGGGTTAGGACCGATCCACCCGGACTCAGCCCTTACTTGTGGCCATGATCAAGAATAAGTGGAAAGAGAAGAGCTCAGTGTAGCCCTCTCAAGATGTGATCCAGCAGCACAACCATGATTATGTCACCTGTGCAGGAGCTTCCTCCCTTCTGAGCTCACCTGCACATATGCTTTTTCCCTCTCAGATATATATGTACCTCACCCAATAGAATAGAAATAGAAAATCCCTTCCACCCAGAGCTTTCAAATTCCTGGACAGCCCTGAATTTGCCTTTGTTTTGGGGATAAACTACATGTGCTGAGGGGTTTTTCACTATTGTCTTCACTAAAAAAGATTGCAAATTAACATTTGAAATTAATGCTTCAGTGCTGACATGGGAGGATTTTCCTTTCAAGCATAGAAGGGGAACAGATGTCTATAGAGTGTTGTTTCCTCTATACACACGTATCTACCAAAGCCCACACATGTAAAGGGTATGCACTTGCTCACCTCATGTTCAGAGCAGGATTAAGCATACCCTGGAGGTGCTGTGACCTAGATGATCAGTTTTTGGAAGCTTGGCAAAAGGACCCTGGTTGTAGGATGTCCTGGAGGAGGCAGATTCAGAGTCATTTTGTGCTCTGTTAAACCTATTCATTTTCAGGAGGACTTAATCTACCTCTGAATAGCAGGTGGGACACTGTAACTCAGAGGTGGGCAGCCAAAAGGCAAAAGAAAGCTCCTGGATGCTGGCAGTGCTCTTGTGGTGTTGCCAGAAGCCACAGAGCTTCCATCACTCACTTTGCTCACACAATGAAATTAATTCTGCTGCTAACTGCAGAACCAATCTGGGAACAAAGTCATTTTACCAAAAGGAGCAATATAGGGAACAATACCTTAAAAAACCAAGTAGGATCAGAATCCTGAGATGGAAGGTGTGAGGGCACTGGGGTCTGTGTTAGCAAGGGTGTTCCTGCCCAGGTGATGGTTGTCCATATCGTCAGTTGTTTTTTCCTCATTGTCACAACAGTTGAAAGTTGCTTTAAACATTTTTCTTTTGCTTCTTCACTCTTGATCCCTTGTCATCTTCCTTGCTGCCACTGCAAAATGAATCTTGGTTCGTAGAGAAAAATCTATTCCCTGCCTGGGAAGCAGATGCTGGATGTTTGGTGCCCCTGTTATAGAATTGGATATTTAGTAATGGATATCGTGGACACCTCATTCATAGGAGATGTGGAAAAGATGCCAAGGCAGGTTAGACATGAAAATCTGGCTAGTCAATCATTCTCCATCAGCCCAGAGCAGAGTCTAGGGGAAGCCAGCCTAAGAAACAGGACAGCTTAAGGATGATTCTTCCCCTGCGCATCTTCCAGCTTTTGGCCTTCAATAGATTGGCTACTTCCTAAACCTCGTGATGCTTTAAATTACCGCAGACCGGACAGAAGGTCTGGTCCTAGTAAAAAACTCCCTAACTGCCTCCCGCCACGCTGCCCCAAGGAGCCCCCTGCCTCCCTCAGCCCAGGAGGCGGCTCGGGCTGGGGGGGAGGCAGGGCGCAGGGAAGCTGCGCCAGCGGGCGCGGGAGGGGGCTCTGGGACC